TTCACGAGTGAAGCGTGATTCGTCTGCCTTGGTTGTATCCTGGGACTCGATATTCGTACAGTTTCGTCTCACTACGGAGCGAATATTAAGAGTTAAGGAAAGAGATTTATCTCGCCTCCATGTCTTATATAATCGTTTATTTCCTTAACTCCGTCTTTCTTATATCGTTCATGTCGATCCGGTTTTCCGGCTTCTACAACTCACACCAATTATCAACAAACGTCAAACAATCACCGTGCTGGCTCTTAGCAACGATGCTATTGGTTCCATCTCTGGTAGACCTGAGGAGGAGCTCAAGAACATTCTTATGAACCATGTGGTTCTTGACTACTACGATGAGCTTAAGCTCAAGGCTCTCAAGGACAAGAGCACATTGCTCACTACCCTTTACCAATCCACCGGTTTGGGCCAGCAGCAAAACGGTTTCCTCAACTGTTCCAAAACTAATGGAAAGATTGTCTTCGGGTCTGCTGTGAAAGGCGCTCCTCTAACCGCCGAGTACATCACGACCGTGTTCCGCAACCCGTACAATCTCTCTGTGGTCCAGATCAGCATGCCCATCGTGGCTCCAGGACTTGAGTCTCCGGTTAAGGTTCCTCCACCACCACCCATGACTTCACCACCGGCTCCATCTCCCAAGAAGGCTGGAGCCACTCCAGCTCCTGGACCAGCTGAGGAAGAGGATTACGCAGACGCTCCTCCTGGTGCAGCTCCAGAAACCGCACCAGCATCAGCTCCATCAGAAGATGGTTCTCCTGCTCCGGCTCCAGAAAATGCTGGTAAGAAGAAGATGGCAGCAGCTGATGAGGTTGAACCACCTAGTTCTGCTTCTAACACCGCTTTGAGCTTTGGTGCTGTTCTCTTTCTCGGGTTTGTGGCTAGCTTTGCTGGGTTCTAAGATGGATTAAGACAGAGGGAGTCGAGGACAGCTAACTGAACATGAGACTCCTAACCATAGAAACAATCATGGTGATATGAACTGAATGAAAATATTATCTACATCACAATGTACCTAAATCAATTATCATTAGGGAAAGAAAGTGTGGTGTTCTGTCCTGTGAAATATGTATAACGAGGTTGTAACCTATGTAACTATCTTCATTCATCCAACTAAATGCAATACACTAAACACAACAGACCAAATATCCCATTAAGCAGGACAATTGAATAAGCATTGAGATGCTGTTATGGAAATGACTCAAAATCCCAAACTACAAGGATCATGAAGTTTTTAGCATCACGAAACTAGACATATCCGAGTAAGCACAACAAAATGACTTAAAAGAGTTTTCACCAAGCCTAAAAACAAAGCATGCACAGTTGCTCTAGAGAGTTAGATACTGAAGCGCCTAATTGATTACGTAACGAGCCTATGTGCAGCAGCCTCCCTCCCTCCCTCATTTAATCCTCTTTAGGATGTCAGCAACGACCTCTTCCATATCAAGTTCCGTCATCTCTTTAAATGGTTTCTTCATCTCCTACATAAGAAGCAAGTCACATCATCTTCTGTACAGCTCAACAACATGGAAAGGAAACATTTACGAATTGCATACAGAGGCAAACATAAGAACTAGTCAGCAGCACTTGACTTGATTCAACATAATGTAAACAACCAAAAGTCACTTTATAATGCTCACACGACCCCTCATTCATATGATTAAGCCAAGTCACCAAACACCGAATCGATTTTAAGGTGCATAAGGATCTAAATCTGATTTCATTCTCTAAAACATATGATCAAAGAAGGAAAGGCTCTTACCAAAAGACTAACAAATGTTTCGCCACCTTCCTCTCGAATCTCAAAGCATCCACGCCTTGGCTGTTAAAATCAGAGACCAAAAGTTAAATAACTGAGAAGATAACAGATCTCAACCTAAACAATCAAGCATTTATGAGAATATCTATACACATGTGCAGTTAAAGATTCGGAGTACCTTATCAGGATTGACATTGACAATGATGCCAGGGATAGCTATCTCCAGACCTTCCTTCACCTCGGTGGCTCTCTCCTTGAATGATTTGTGTTGTTTGCTTCAAAAAAACAAAGAAACAACAAACTTCAACCACAACAAGAAAATCACCGTTCACAAATTACAAACTCAAAACCTCTCATAAGCATATAGAATGCGTACAGATTCAACAACGAAACCCTAACTAGAACACGAAATTTGCCAACGCACTGAGACTAACACCAAAGATTAGCTTCAAGAAACCCTATCTCTTCGCTTTCTACCATTTTTCCCCCAATCATTCTCACGAAAACCTAACAGAAACAAAGACGAAGGAGGAGACGTTATCATCACTTACCAGTGCTCGATCACAATCGTCTTTTGCTCGGAGACATCTTCGTCTTCTTCTCCTTCACCTGCGGCATCGTCTTCTTCTACAACAGCTTCCTCCTTTTCTTTCTTGATCTTCTTCGTCGCCGCAGCTCCACCTTCCTTCGCTTTCGTCTTCCTTTTCTTCTTCTCCGGAGATTCGAAGTTAAAGAGCTTGGAAGATGCCGAGTTGACACCACCGCGTGCCTGAGATTGGCTCCGAGTCCGACGATCCATGCTTCGAGTCTGCCTTGTTGACGTAGCTGCCGTCGCAACAGATTTCCCCTTATCTCCTCCTCCTCCTCCGGTACTCTTCGGCGGAGCCATTGAGTGAAACAGAAAAAAGCTTCGAAAGGTCGCAGCAAAAATGGCTACTGGGATGCTCTCTCTCTTCTCTCTTCTTTGATATTTCACTTTTTCACCCGCTCTTTATTTATTTTTAACGCTGGTTAAAAGACGTTGGGAAGGACTAAGAGTTACCTGAAGAGGACACGTCACACGGAATTTGAATGGATGGTCATGATTGACTGTAAAATAATAAAGACGGATCTGTATGATTGGGTCAATATTATGGTGCTCGTCTTTACTGTTTAAGTAGGACGTATCATATTCCCGGTGACTGCTTGGCTGTATAATAAATGTATTTTTAATCTTTAATTCTTTAGTTTTTTTTTTATAACACTTGAACATGTAGTAATAATCTTTGTGATACAAAGCAAAAATTCAGAAAATAAATAGGATGTCAGTAGACACCACACAAACAAAGAGAAAGAATGAAAATCTCACCCACTCCCATTATTGTCGAGTTTCCATAGTGAGTAAATGCTGAAGTCAAGCCGGTGCATCTCGGGCGTCGTATGTTTGGGATTGGCCATTCCGGGTGAGACAAACCTCATTGCTGAGCCTCTAAAGCGAGTAGATGATGAAGCCACACCGGAGCATTACGGGCGATGTAGGATTGATGACGAAGGTCGCGCGTGACGCTCAAAGCAATTGCCGCTGCAGCTTCATTGCGTTCGGGAAGGGTATGATCCAAACTCCATGAATCAATCCTTGCGAGGAGAAAGAAAATGCTGTGACGAATATGGCTGAGGCTAAGATAATTCGTCGTGGTAAGAGCATCATGAAGGGTTGCAGAGGCAGTCTCGAAAATAATTCTTTAGTTATACAACTATAAAATTTCCAATCTATTCACGTTATAAAACTATAGCAAAAAAAAAGATAATATTCTAAATTACGACATTTTAAAGATATTATTTAGAGCATCTCCAAAAAGACTCTCTATTTTAAAGTTTTCAAAACTTTATATTTGAAGTTTTAGGATGTTCTTCTCAAAAAAAAAAAACTTCAAATTTAACTTCAAAATTATTTACATTTTACATTTTGATCCTTATATTTGTCATAGTTAATATAAATTCATAAAACATTGATAAATAACATACATATATATATATATATATATATATATATATATAAATTCTACAAAAATATTAATTAATAAAATCTTACACTAAAATATAAAATTATAAATACAAATACATGATTATTACAAATAGAATACCACATTTCTGTTGTCTAATTTTAAAATATTTAAAAATACTAAACTACAAGCAACTATTTTAAATTTATTACCAATTTTTATTTAGTTTTATGTATAAAACTTAAATTTATAAAAGGTAAATTTTAATTTGAAATAGTTATGAGATTTAAAAATTTGTATGGATTAAAACAATAAACAAAAAAATATTTATGAATTCTAATTTTTATTTGTAATTATAAGGACCAAAATGCAATTAAAAAGATGAAACTTCAAATTTAGAGTTTTGAGTATTGAAACTTCAAAAATAGAGTTTCACTCTTAAAAATTTCAAATTTGAAGTTTTGAGGTTTCTTTTTAAAGAGCAAAAAACACTATATTTGAAGTTATAAAGTTTTCTTTTGGAGATGCTCTTAGTAAGATTATTGTTACAAATATTTTTTCTCTTTTTCTTGTTTGATTTAGTTTTTTTTTTTTTTGACATCGAAAGGCTGTTCTATTACTCAAGCTTGAAGTTGGTTTGGGAATCCAGACCGGAATAGAACAACCAACATACATCAGATCACGATAGAATGAACGAGCAATCTTAGCTAAAGAATCAGATACAACATTTTGAGCCCTAGGGGCATAAAAAATCTTGAAGTCTGGGAAGCAAATCCGCAACGTCGAGATCCTCTCCAGTTCCGTTGAAAAGCTCGGCCATTCATGGGGGGTTTTTGAGCATTGCTATCAACTCCTTGCAATCCGTCCCAAAGCTCTGACATGGCGAATGTTGAATCATATTCTCCATTTCCCACCGCAGTGCTTCCAGCTCAGAGTGCAAAGCCGACTCCACCCTACTCATATTACGCATGCCATCAACTGGCTATTTCCCATGCTATCCTTCCAATTCCAGCCACAACCTGAGAAATGATTGGTGGATGTCCACGAACCATCTATCATACAGATCTCACCCATGCTTATGACCTGGCTTTCAACATCTATGTTCCCTTGTGATTGCACGATTTCCTGCTCATTATCTTGGAACCAGGCAAGGCACTCGCTCTCCGCATACATGGCTAGCTCCAGAGGATCTCTATCAATTTCTCTGAATAGCTTATCATTCAGAGCCTTCCAAATATACCAAATTAGTCAAGGATAAGGGTCCCTGTCTAATTTTTGTTCCATAATGACCTTTTTCCTCCAAAATAGGTAATCCATATTCGCATATGTGCTCTGCAGAGGGAATAAAGTTGAGCTGGTAGGTATAGATGCTAAAGCCCATACCTGTAAAACAGGTGGACATTGAAAGATTGCATGTGCAACTGTTTCTTCCGGTTCTCCACATCGTGGACAAAAGTTGTCACATCTCATGTGTCTATGGTTTAAAGTGCTCGTGACAGCCATATGACATGTTATAATCTGCCACATAAGTTGGCGCATCTTTGGGGGCGCTTTAACCTTCCAGACATGTGCTTGGAGTTTTGTAATACTCGGTTCACCCACTAGATTATCATCCTCCTTCATTAGTATGTTTCTAACGACCCAATAACCAGATTTGACTGTGTACTGTCCACTCCTTGTGTAGCTCCAGCAATACGTGTCTCTACGATAAGTTGAGCTAATAGCCATACTCCTTATGAGAGGTATGTCAGTAGCATCAACATAATACGTCAGCCGATCCAAACCCCAAGACTTTGATTCTTGATTAATAAGATCACTCACTCTCATGTTAGGATGGGCAGTTGAGAATGCTGGCCTCACTGGGATTGTAGGAATCCAAGGGTCCTCCCATACTTTCACTTCATAGCCTGAATGAATTTTCTGTCTAACCCCCAACAACAATAATTTTCGTGCCGCCGATATGCTTGTCCACACATATGATGGACCACTGATTGTGAGCTTTCGCAAAGGAGAACTCAAACGATAATACCGACCCCTCATTACTCGAGCTACCAGAGAATCTGGATATTGTGCCAATCTCCATAACTGCTTGGCTAACAATGCTAGGTTGAACTCATGAATCATCCTGAAGCCAATTCCCCCCTCCTCTTTAGATAAACATAACTTATCCCATGTGTACAAGTGTAAGCCTCTTTTTGGTGGGTTCGAGCTCCACCAAAATTGTGCAATGGCACTAGCCAAAGCATCACATATCTCCAAAGGGAGTAGAAAGTAAGACATCACATAGGTTCGGAAAGCTAGCAGGATTGACTTTATCAATACTTTCTTTCCACCTTTTGATAACCACCTTGTTTCATTTAGTTCTTAAAACTACATCATATACATTTATATATAAAAAATCATACAAATTAATTTCTACTGCAAAATCTTTACGGTTACAGCCTAACCACTCATCAACATTGTACATTTATCATTAAACTTCTATATATGAAATGGAATGTTCAAAATTTCAAATGATTTGAGAGTTTCTTAGCATGGTTCTGATTTTTAATGACTAGACATACATTTATAAATATTCTTTTTTTTTCTAGTTTTAAAACTAAACAATTCATGATTAATAATTTTTATGATCATATAAAAAAAATAAAGTTTAAGACATAACCTACATCAACAATCACCCCCTTATCTAAGATTGATTTATAACCAACATTTTTATAATTTTTTGGTAGATAAAAAAAGAGTATTTGCACTTCATACACACAAAATATGGCAAATTCCTAAATACCTTCTTCTTTTGATATATTAGACTAAATCATTCATAAAAAAAACCGACACAACAATCAAAGTGGAGATTTTGAAAGCTATACACCTTTTTTAAGAATTTTAATAAAAAATTCATTATTTACTAGGGTTCGACCCGCCCTATGGACGGGTTAGTAACCGAAAAAAATATAATATGTCAAAAAATTTATTGAATATTTCAAAAAGTTTAATTTAGTTTAAATGGTAAGTAATCTAAGACCAAAATTACAATTATACGGCATTCAAAGTTTTAATACTACAATTATACATTCGTATATATCATCTAACAATATTAAAAGGGCAATATATTCAAAGGAGATCATGTCCACATAGACAAAAATAATCAGCCAATAGAGAAGTTTCTTTTTGCCAGGTCATATATTGCTTATCTCGAGTGAAGTCGAAACTGGCCCAATTCAAGCCCAATCTCGCCTAATTTCATCAGAAGCGTAGAGAGTTGATCTCCCGACTTCTCCACTTCGTCTTCACCTGATTGCTCTGTAACTCCGTTACATTTTTCTCCTCTTTTCTTTATTGTTCCGTTTTGCCTCCCTTTCTTTCTCCTTATATAAAAAATGATACATATCTTTGTCGAGAATTACTTCAAAGTAACACCGGCTCTTCCACTTGGTCTTCACAGTCTCGGCTGCTGTGTAATTTTCGTCTTCACCTGAATACTTTGAAATCTCTTCCATGGAGATAATGGTATCGTTTCGTTATTTTTAGATTCGAGTTTTAAATATGACAAATGTTTGCAGGTTGTTCCACGAATCTCCTTCATTGATTTTGACCAATTTTCTATTTTGTTTTTGATTCCTCCGTTGTAGTGATTGATTTAAAAATTTTGGGTTGGAACGAAGAGCCTCCTCATCTGTATGCGTAGAGACTTGGTGACGCTGATTATCTCAGTTGGAATCAGGCAAGGAAACTCCGCATAGGACATATCCAACACACGTTGCCTCAAATTGAATATGCTTCGCTACTACATATCTCAGTATTTGTAATACGCCTATGAGACCAATTAATTATCATCATTGAATGAGGACTACCTTTATACAAAGGAGATGACTTGCAAGAAACCAGATTTGCTTGAGTTTCATGAGTTTATGGTATGTATGTCTGACACTGAATGAAAGTTACACTTTTAAAATGTTAATTTCTTTCACACCG